TCAACTCATTTCGAAAAACAAAAATTTTCGTGTTTGCTCTTCTGCACGATGTGGAGCACAGACTTGAGACAAATCTTTCAGGTTTAAACTGATTCTGAGACACCATGGAAGTGGATCAATAGCATTGCTCCGTTTATCATTTTACTTGCTGGTATGATCATAAATGTATTTTTGATTTAACTCTTAATGAATCTTCTGATTTATGAAATCTGTTGACAGTGAATGAAATGAGTTGTTAAGAAGTGACTGAAATGCGAAAATGAAGGGACGGAATTAAAATAAATCTGCAAACGAACGGATATCCTCTAGCATGTGTCTGATATCCAAATGCATCGTTTTATTCATTCGTATCGTCCTTTCCAAATCCTTTCCACCTCCAAGTCTCATATCAATTCGATCTGCAATCGCTGCGATATGCTTCCAACTGGTCCCGATAAAGATTTGTCGAAATAACGACAGATCACGACTCAATTCTTCGATTCCATTCGGAGCCTTCAATTTTATTTCTCGCTTACGACCATTTTTATGGGTCATCGCTTAGACCATAACAACAGGTCTTGAATGAACCCGGACTCATTCGATCACTCGTGCAAATTACTTTTGCAGTTGAAGTTTTTCATTGATGAATGAATAGGAATGGACACTGTGTTGACTTTAAGCTCAACTGATACTTGAAAATGAATCTGTTGTGCGAAACAAATGAAATTCATGATCGAAATGATACAAAAATTTTTGCTAATGTCAACAGGATCTACTGAAAATCAGGCAGAGCAACGAAGTTCACAACTTGTCACAAAATTAGACATATTAACTCTCAGGAGCATAATTTCTCAATTACGTCCCTGAGAGAACATAATTTTTAATATGAATAAAACTGATAACCGCCAAAATAAGGTCGACATGTTCATCAACCAATTTCATATCAACTTTATGCCTGCGTTCATCTCTTGCTTCGCACAGTAATAATTGTAACATTTTACCAAATATACCGTCCACCTTAGAATTGTCTGATTAAGCAAAGATACATAAAAGAAAACGAAAAACAACTCGAATTTAAAAACTGATAACAACGAAGATATTGGAACTTGGAGCTCGAGTGATATAAGTAAATATGATCTCCGAATTGATTATACTGATCATTTACGATCAGAATCATTTACGCTAATAGATCGCTGAGAAAAATGAAGAAATTCTTTCGAAACAATTGGAAAGGATCGGATTAATAAGAAAGAGACTGACTTTAGCGACAACATCTTTTTCGAGCTGTGTGTGATAAGCACTCTGATAAGCATCACGAATAACTTTCATTTGCTGAAATCAGTTGAATTCATTATAAATATTCAATAAACTTCTCGAATATTTTCTGTTGGATACGGAAGCAATGTGAATGAATAAATGAATACGTTCGTGGATTTGTTCAAACGATAAATTTATTCATGTTTCGATAATAAACTGAGAGCATCGTCAGTATTTGATACGGCAGTGATGTATTCTGATCAATGCAAATATAGAAGATCGCCTTACGGATGTGGATCGTGTGCATGCAATCTCAACAGCTATTGATAGAAGACCGCCTCGTCGACTCTGCAAAAAGCACCTCAGTTATGCACTGAATGAACTAAATGAAATTCAGTGAGACACAACGAACAGCTGCAAACTTTCAGGTGTTCCAACATGCAATGAGATGAGCAATTGAATTTTTAAAAGGGATATCAAAATTTCTTGGAGATAAGATGCATTTGATAAGATGCAACATTGAGAAGACTGTGATAATCGCATTCATTTCAGAATTTTATCTGTGATGGAGTTGGAATTTTCAGTAGAAACGACTACCGAAATAGATTTGAAAAGCAAATCGGCTGAGTATCGATATGCCGGTTTAAGCAATGCTTTCAACAGATCGAAAAAGAAACCACCCGTCTCCTCCTCGATATCATCCAGCAAATTCTAGAAATATTTCAAATTAACTCGAAAAATATCAATCAAGTAGATCGGTTTCCATTGAAAATTCAGTTTGAAGTACTCATTGGAATGTGATATTGGGTGTTGAATATTGATCTGATTATGAAGAAATGATTCAAGAAGGCATTAACCCTGTCAAACATCCCTTCGTATGCACTCAAAATCTTTTGACGTTGAAAATTACTGTGCTCAACGATAGTACTAATAATCGCTGCATCGTTCGTTTCTGAAAGAATTTCTTAGGAAGATTACTTTGACTGAATTTTTCGAGACAGGATAAATGCTTTTTGTGGTAGATGACCTTCACGATAATTTGCAAATGATTCTTAAATACTTTTGCACACTTAAAAGAAACTTGTGCTCTTGTGTCTATCAGCCTAAAGATACAGCTGAATTGAGCATAGCAAGATTAAGCATATTGAA